ACCCTAAACCCTAAAACCCAGAGCCTTCCAGCCCAGGCCCTGAAGCAGCGGACATGTTGCTTGGCCTGTCTCTGAGGGCTCGGGCGAGTTGAGTCATGTAGGGGCCCTGACAATCAGAATAGGGCTTTGGGGAGTTCCTTTAAGAGGTTCCTAAAATGGTACTATACGGGCTACTATAAGGGTTTAGGGTTTAGGGGCCCTAACATTTAGAATACGGTTTGGGGGGTACATGATATTATAATCATAATAAGGAACCATGGGTTGTCGGCTTGCTGTTTGGGGCTTGCTCTGTAGGGCTTAAGGCTTACGGGTTCAAAGGTGTAGGTCTTTCGGGTTCGGGTAGAGGGGTGCTGCTGCCAGTCCAACACCTTAAACACCAGATTCTGAGCAGGAGCACCTACACCCTAAACACCAAACCATACCAAACCCTAAGCACTAAACCCCAAACCCTAAACCGTAAACCCTACACCTTAAACCCTAGACACCAAACCGTAAGCACTAAACCCTAAACCCCAAATCCCAAACCCTAAACCCTATACCCTGCACCTTAAACCCTAAACCCAAAGCCCTAAACCCCAAACCCTAAACCCTACACCTTAAACCCTAAACCCTAAGCCCTAAACCCTAAACCCTAAGCCCTTGAACCCTAAGCCCTAAACCCTAAGCCCTAAACCCTAAACCCCAAGACCTGGTGCTCGGAGCCCAGGATCGTGAAGCCCGATGCGAGCACCTTGCTGCAGGCAAGGCAGGGAGCCGAAGCTTTGGATCATCCGGGGACACAGCTCCAGTGTAGGGTTTCGGGTTTGGTGGTTTAGGGTTTGGTGGTTTAGGGTTTCGGGTTTGGTGGTTCAGGGTTTGGTAGTTTAGGGGTTTAGGGGTTTCGGGTTTGGTGGTTTAGCGGTTTCGGGTTCAGGGTTGAGGGCGTCGGGTTTGGTGGTTTAGGGTGTAGGGCTTCGGGTTTGGTGGTTTAGGGGCTTCGGGTTTGGTGGTTTAGAGTTTAGGGTTTCGGGTTTGGTGGTTTAGGGGTTCGGATTTGGTGGTTAAGGGTTTCGGGTTTGGTGGTTTAAGGTTTGGTGGTTTAGGGGTTTAGGGTTTGGTGGTTTAGGGTGCTTTGGGCTTCGGGTTCGGTAGTTTAGGGGTTTCGGGTTTGGTGGTTTAGAGTTTGGTGGTTTAGTGGTTTAGAGTTTAGGGTTTCGGGTTTGGTGGTTTAGGGGTTTAGGGCTTGGTGCCTTCGGGCCGGGCTTAGCGTTTAGGGGAGACAGTTCCCAAACCTGGCAGTCCTTCCCTTGCTATCTCGTCATGGCATGAGGTCTGCTCATACACGACACGTCTGAAGCTCAGAGATGCATCACTAATATAGGGGCCTAAATAATTACCAATAGTATTGTTGGGTAAATCGAAAGCTAATATAGGGGCTTTAATGATTACCTATAATATTTTGGGGGTTCCTTATCATACTTATAGTATAATGAACCCCTCAAAATCCTATTCTAATTATAAGGCCCCTATACGCATCCGCAGTGCTTCACGACAACAAGCACGGAGACTGTTTCTGGCTCCGGCAAAGTTCTGTAAGCCCCACAGGGGCCGATTCCTCCAAGAATCTCCCAGGTGTGTCAGTCTAAAGTACAACAGCGGAAACTGCCCTAAACTCTAAAACCCTAAACTGAAGACCAGCAATGCCAAGCCAGAGCATCTGAACCAAAGAAGTGCGCGCTGCTCGGTCAGATGTCGATTTTTGGGGGAGTTCTGGCCGTAGTAATGTAGGGGCCTTAATAATCAGAATAGGGTTTTGGGAGCCCCCCAAAACCCGATTCTACGAATTAAGGCCCCTGCACAAACTGTAGTAAGGCTGGAGCCGGGGCCCAGCGTTGTAGCAGACGTATTTCGCCACATGTTTCAGGTCGAAGTGAAGGTTGGTTTGTCTGAAGCTGTGCCAACCAAACTTGGGTCAGGCTATGCAGGATAATGCATCCACGAGTTCAGCCTTTACAAAAATTGACGGAACCTCAGACTGTATGCCAGGTGCCATTCCAAACAGAAATGGCGGTGGTCATGGGCGACTGCTACATTGAAGGCTCTTGCTAAGTTCAGTGCTGTGTGTTCAGCATGAATGTTTGCATTCAGCATGTCCGAGTGTCTCAGATTGGGTTGGGATAAGGGTAATCATGCAAGAGGGCACCGCCACAGTCGTGCCGTACGCAGCGTTGTGAATCATGCCTTCGCAGATCCCTTTCTGAGGAGCCCTTCTTAAAACTTATGACGACTGAACGGTCGTCATTCGTGCTTAGCTTGCGGAAGAAGTTGGCGCGACTGCAGAAGGCTTGAATTCCAGGAGCATTCACCCAGAATCTGGTGAAAGAAGTGTCAGACCCTGAATCGCCATGAGCGAACCCCAATCCAAAACTAGGAGTTTGGATTTGGGGGTTTAGGGTATTTTTGTGTTGTTTACCAGTGATTCTGCAACATAGACCCTAAACCCTAAACCCTAAACCCTAAATGTGTCGAGCCTCTGAAACTCAGGGGGTTCCGGGGTTCCCTCACTGGGACTCTCTTAGCTCCGGCTGGCAGGTTCTGGGAGTTTGGGAGCAGCAGGCGATGTTGTTTGGTGGTCTGAAACGTCACCCATCTTACTGGGGAAGTAAGCTAAAAGGATCTATAAGGGCCGGTTTCGGCTACTCGGGTCATCCCTAAACCCTAAACCCTAAACCTTAAACCCTAAACCCTAAACCCTTGACTTTGGACCAACCTCGCATCCAAGGCCAAGAGGTGATGCAGTCTCCTCGGGCAGTGTTGCGCCAGCAGATCGCGGAGATCCAGAAGCGTGGATACGTGACCTTACTAAACTTCGATTCTTGCTCAGACTCGTAGTTTGTCTTACCATGATGGGGATAGTGTGCAGTTTATGGATAGATAGATAGATATAGGTCGATATATACACATATTTAAATCAAGATGCTCACCTTGTTGTATGCAGTTAAACTGAGCATAGCAACAACCCCGGAAGGAAAAAAACAGTGTCGTTCCCGGACTTATTCTCGTCACTTTGGGTTCCCTTTAGCATGAAGACGAGCTTCGAATGCTACATGAACCATACTTGGGGTTAAGGTTTTAAGGTTTGACTCCAGAACACGATCCCCAAAGGCGAACCGCAGAACCTCAAAAGCCCCAGCCGCACCCGTCTCTTTGACTGTTGGGGACAGGGGGATGCCTCTGTCCGGTCCTTAAGCACGAAGCCCGAAACTCACACCCAGGTCTTCAAGACCGGTGTGGAGGCAAAGGGGTTTAGGGTTTAGGGTTTAGGGTGTTGAGATTTGATCAGGATTTGGCATTTGTTAAACAGTTAGGTGTCAGGGATCAGGGTCAATGTTTCGCACAGAACACTGCCGTTCCTTTGGTGTGTTGCTGGGCTGCTGCATTTCGGCACCATGACGCACCTGAACTGCTGCACCTGACTCCAGACTCTACAGTATGATGTGTACCGTGAAAACGTTGCTCTTCAGCTGATGTCTGATGTAGTCAGTCGTGAGTCTGTGAAGCTCGTCCTTCCAGCTTCTCTTAGAGCTTCCGTCTCGTTCTCTGTCGCAGTCGCAATGGAGGTGTGGCGCTGTCTTGCGATTGGTATGTTTTGGGCCGTCACCGCCTGTCGTCCCTACTCTTGCTACTAGTAGAACTCTTGGATGGCAAAGCCCCGATCCAGGCCGAGTTCTTCCTCCTCGCGCCGCAGTCGCAGGTCCTTGAGCCCGCTCTGGAATGCTTTCACACTAAACCCCAAACCCTAAACCTTAAACCCTAAACCCTAAACCTTTAACCCTAAACCCTAAACCTTAACAGCGACTGAACTTGTTTTGGTCCGACTCCAAACTCCAAACACGCCGAGCATGAACTCCGAAGCCTTCTTCAAGCCCCTTAACCGGCCGTTATCCCGAAACTATAAGGGATTAGGGTTTAGGGGTTTAGGGCTTTAGGGTTGAGGGCTTACTGGCGTTTAGGGCTTTAGGGGTTTAGGGTTTAGGGGTTTAGGGTTTAGGGGTTTAGGGTTTAGAGTTAAGGGATTAGGGTTCGGGGCTTTGGGGCTTTAGGGTTTAGGGCTTTAGGAGTTCAGTGTTTAGGGTTTAGGGTTTTCAACCTTTGGACCCAGAACCCGAAGTCCGTTTAAATCCCCAAAGAACATGGCGCAGGGATGCCAACTGGCGGTGTCCGACCAGGGCGATTCTTTGAGCAAGCCATGCTGTGACTCGGGTGCTTCATCTTTTATATCTAGGGCGATGATTTAATAATAACCTATACCATTTTGGGGGTTCTTACTTTTATGAGCATAGTATACTGGACTCCAAAACCCTATTCTAATTGGAAAGGCCCCTAAATGATAGTCACCTTTTTTTCCCTGAAAGGAACCCTTGTGGGAACATTTTAGTAGCCGGTGTAGGGGACCCGTTACAGTCATCTGTAAAGGGGCACCATAACTCATCACAGCTGTAGGTCTTGATCACGACGATTACTGTTTTTCTGCTGCTACTTCTATTGCTGCGCCCACTGCGCCGACACTACAACGAAAGGGAGCTGTGTTGCAGTTGGCTCCTCCTTGTACCACGTCGTACCAGAGGGCATATCTAGAGAGAGAGAGAGAGAGAGAGAGAGAGAGAGAGCGCCAAACGCCCTCCAAGCAAGCAAGCAAGCAAGCGAGCAAGCAAGCAAGCAAGCAAGCAAGCAAGCAAGGGTGAAAGCGGCGACGGAGAGCGAGTGTGAGAGCGGGAGCGAGAGCGAGAGAGAGAGAGAGAGAGTGAGTGAGAGAGTGTGTGTGTGTGTGTGTGTGTATCTGTGCGTGTGTGTGTGCAGACGAAGACAGTGGAGTTTGTCATGTCGTTGCTCAAACCCCAAACTCGCTTGAGTAGTAGCAAGAGAGGTATAAAGTCTCTGAGAGCCTGCTAACTCAGATGATGCTCAATCCATGATGCGGCGGTATGGGCTGCTGACCGACATCGTGGGCTCCTTACTTGGGGGGTTGGGATCCGGATGGCTGAGTGTGATTTCTACAGTGTTTTGGTCAGAGCCGAAGTGCCCAACGGTGACTTGAAATCCTCAGCCACATCTCCCCAAGGCCGAAAGACTCTAAACCGAAACACCTGGAACACGTAGAACGCCGGGACCAAACCTTCTCAACCAGCCTATGCCCCCAAACCCTGAAACCTTAACACCTTGGCTTCAAGCAGACGCCTTAGCCCTAAACCCTAAACAGGTATGCACTCTGAACAAGTGTGGCTTCGGCGTCTACCAGACTGACCACGAGGATGCAAATGGCCAGTTCGAGATCAATTGGCACTACCAGGAGTTTAGGGTTCAGGATTTAGAGTTTAGTGTTCAGGGTTTAGGGTATAATTTGTGGGCCTTTGTGGGCCTTAGTACTTAGAATAGGGTTTCGGGGCCTATTATGCTATAATAAGAAAACTAAGGAACCCCCAAAATAGTATAGGGAATTGTTTAAGCCCTTACCCTAAACCCTAAACCCTAAACCTTAAAGCCTAAACCCCTAAACCCTAAACCCTAATTGTTTAAGCCCTTACATTAGGGTTTAGGGTTAAGGAGCTCAGGTTTCGGGTTTCGGGCACCTGGGGACCGGGCCTCCGACTTCGAAGGTCGCCTTTTGTCCGATCTTTGAAGGCTAAAGTTACAGAGGCCTTAATAATTACCTATACTATTTCGGGGGCCCCTTAGTATAATTTGCGTAGAATCTACCCCAGAACCCTATTCTAAGTAGTAAGGCTGCAACATTATGGGCTCCAGCTTTGGATGCTTGGAGCTCGATCTGTGTTTTGCGCCTTCTGCTCGGTGGTTTAAATTAAAGGGTTTAGAGAAATAGGGCTTTAGGATTTAGGGCTTTAGGGCTTTAGGGTTTAGGGTTTTAGGGCTTTAGGGCTTTAGGGTTTAGGGCTTTAGAGCTTTAGGGTTTAGGGCTTTAGGGCTTCAGGGTGAGGGAGGGGGCTTTGCTTGGCAGGAAGCCCGGGTGAGATGTGTTCACAGCATTGCACGGAAGTTACCTGGCGTCGCCGCTTGCCACTGGAGGACTGCATGACCACCGCCGACCAGCACATCTTCTTCAAGTGGATCCTGGGCCACATGAGCCACTGAACCCCTGAACCCCCAAGCTCTAACCCAAACGCATTCCTAGCTACAGGGTCCCTTTTTGGATGCGCAAGGACTCGGGCACTCTTATCAGAAGGACCCCAAACAGGGACCCTGAACCCTCAACCCTAAAGCAAACCTGGCACTTTCCTACTTTTTGGCAGCCGAGGGCTGTGAAGACGCTGGCAGAGCGACACGGCTTCTCGGTATCCCCGACACGGTTTAGGGTTTAGGGTTAGGGTTTAGGGTTTAGGGTTAGGGTTTAGGGTTTAGGGTTTAGGGTTTTGTGGGTTTTAGGGTTTAGGGTTTAGGGTTTGGGGTTTTGGGTGGTATCATGCAAACCATTGTAAACCCAAGGGGGTTCTGAAGAATGCCATTTTGCTTATGGCCAAGTTCTCGGATCTTTGCCTCAAGAGCTTGAGTCCTCAGCCACCTACGTTGACCTCTGAACCCGAAGCTCTGTCGGGTCAGAGCACTGGCGCGCACCCCGCCCACACCCTTGAACAGCAGCTGGTGGGCTGCAGCTTCTCATCGATGTGGCACGGTTAGGGTTTAGGATTTAGGGTTTAGGGTTTTGGGATGATGAAGACGACGATGACGATGTACAGGATGCTGAAGATGGTAGGGATTGTGACACGGGTGCTCTTGCTATGGTCAGTGGCCTTGTTCCTGTCATTGTGCGTGCGCGAGTCGACGATTGTTCTTAATTACCTTTGGTGCATAGCATAACCTTTTGTCGTTTTTGCTGCTGTGGTTTGCATTCTCAAGCCCTCCCTCAACCATGGTGGGGCCGTGGCTAGAAGTATTGGAGCAAGCATTTTGTTGTAGCTCAACCTAGCACAGATTCGCGGTGGTGCTCTGCTGAACAGGATGCCTTGCAGTAAAACTCTGTTTATGCATACCATGCGGTTGTGGAGTGCAATGTATGTTATGGTCGTCGCCATCACCAGCAGCAGTGTTCCATCCTTCCTGACAGCATGAAGTACCACAGCATGCTCAGGTTAGAGCAGCCCTAAACCCTAAACCCTAAACTACAACGACAGGAAGCAACTGCCCTGGGCCAGACAAAAGGGGCAGCCCGATCGTCATACTAAGATACTATAGGAGCCTAATTTTCTCTCAATACTATTTGGGGTTTCCTTAGTATAATTATAGTATATTGGGCCCCGAAACCCTATTCTAATTATCAAGGCCCCTACATTACTAACATACTATTGCTTTAGACGCCTCCAGCGTATGCTTCTGTTATGCTCTACCGCGAAACACGAATTCAATTCTTGAGGCCGTGCTGCCCATGGATTGCGGCACACACCGGTTTCGAGTGCGTTCCGGGCAGTCTGGCCATTTTGTGATCCAATCTCCATGATCCTGCCAGGCAACCTTTATGCCCAAGCCATTCAGCACCTTCAGTGGCAAAGCTGCAAGAACGTGCCGACACCTACTTATACCGACACACTTTACACCTAAAGGCCAAAACGCATATTTCGAAAAGCGTCTTCGTTTTGTTGTGTGGGCTCTTTAGCTGGCCGTGCGGGCCATTCTCCGTGCTTGCGCTGCATTCTTTCTACTCTTTCAAGTGCTGATGCGTGTCTTACTGTTGTCGTTATTGGTTCTAGTGCCTACATCGGCAGTAGTGTTGTTTCTATGCCTATAGTTGTTCTCCTGTCCCATTGACAACACACATGTAATTGTCATGGGGTTGACAACACACATGTAATTGTCATGGGAGTTGCTGTCAGCAGTGGTAGTCTGGGAGTCGTCGTAGGACTATGAATGGCCGTGGTAGCCGCTGTGGTGGCAGCGATATTGGTCGTGGCAACTAGTACTAGTTATGGTAATTTTACTCGTGCAGTACTACTTTCTGTTGCTGCTATTGTTGTCGCTCTACCTGGCGACGCGGCGGTTGTACTGGCGTGAAAGTGCAGTGTGACCAGCAGTACCAGTACATTGTGCCAGGAATTTAGAACAATTATTTTGCGCTGTCTTGGCAATCTTGGTCATCTTGGTCAGGCGGGGGGGAGCAAGATTGCAAAGCAATCTTGGTCATATTGCCCCTGCCCCAGTTGACTTGCTCTCCGACTAGTCTACCTGGAGTCTACCTTTTGGGGAGACCAAGATTGCAAGAGTGCTTGGCAATCTTGCTCGCAATCTTGGTCAAAAAAGTAAACTTGTCGGCGGGACCAAGATTGCAAGATTGCATGGCAATCCTAACCAGGTACTTGTTCTAAATTCCCGGCACACTGT